ACAAGTTCTTTCTTGAAATAGTGCACTTAAATGGATGCTCCTCAAGCTCCATGATCTGAGTCTGTACTGTGTCATGTAACACCACCAAAGTAAATGAAACTTTTAGAGATATTGGTAATCAGTTCAGAAGAAGTTGAGTACTTCAGGGCACAACCATAAATAATTTTGAGTTTAATTAGCAACTTTTCTAGCGTACAAAAAAAGAACTTCCAAACACTTTCCCCAGAGTTTGCAATCACAAGCTTTTCGAAAATCAAAGAAAGTAACAAAAAGTGATTCATAATTCACAATAATAGTCAATCTATTTGAAATCCATCTTGAAGACAAAACAAAGAGTGAACCATTTGCAAAACATGGGGGAAAAAATTAGGAGAAAATTTAAGTATAAATTATAGGAACCACATATTATAATTACTTAATAACATCCTATCCCTTCTAGTTTTTTATTTACCAAAAATCCCTTAAAAATGATGTTTGTGGGATACATAACATTGTGCACGGGATACATTAGGTTTGATACATTCCATATAGCGGGATACATAGCATTGTGCACGGGATACATTAGGTTTGATACATTCCATATAGCGGGATACATAGCATTGTGCACGGGATACATTAGGTTTGATACATTCCATATAGCGGGATACATAGCATTGTGCACGGGATACATTAGGTTTGATACATTCCATATAGCGGGGGGATACATAGTGTTGTGCACGGGATACATTAGGTTTGATACATTCCACATAACGGGATACATAGCGTTGTGCACGGGATACATAGGTAAAATAAGGGATTTTTGAAAATTTTGAAATAAGTTGGGATAAATGGATATTAAGGTAGGTAAATGAGTGTAGTTAAGTAATTTGTCCAAAAATTTAATCTAAAGGCATAGCTTCAAATTTTAATTAAATTTATAATCAGATTTTATTCCACATTGAATATGACTATTTCTCAACTAATTTGCAAAGTGGCTATTATTTAAATAGATTGTCGAATGGCTAGGTCGTGCTAATTTTTCTTATTAAAAGGAGTCCATGGCCCAAATCCATACAAATTCGCTTATGCCTTATATAAGATAGGCTGTTTCTCCGGGTTTAGTCCTCCGGTCGCCGTCTCAAGCAAAAATGGTAAAGCTCTTAGCCATGGTTAACTTCCTTCTTCTTCACAACTCCTTTTTGGAATATGTAATCTCATTTTTGTTTCTTTCTTTGCGGAAAATGTAGGCTCCAAAGAAGGGTGTTGCAGTAGCAGCAAAGAAGAAGCCAGAGAAGGCGAAGGTGGTGAATCCACTGTTCGAGAAGCGGCCAAAGCAGTTCGGTATCGGTGGAGCGCTGCCGCCGAAGAAGGATGTAACAAGGAATGTAAGATGGCCTCGGAATGTTACCCTACAAAGGAAGAAGAGAATTCTCAAGATGCGATTGAAGGTTCCTCCTGCTCTAAACCAGTTCACCAAAACCCTTGATAAGAATCTCGGTCAGTATACTACTATTATCCTAATCTTTTCCTGTTGCGATTTTGGTTAATTAGTTGCTGTTAACAATTAGACAACCAATCATCTATTTCCAATTCACTGTAATTGCAGCTGCTTATAATGATAATACTTTTTACCTGTATATTCATTTCGCACTATTTTGTCGAGCTAGTTAGTATTATTTGTTTTAGCTTTTATGTAAGTATGTTTGATGCTGCATGTTATCAATGTGAACTTTTACGGAACTTGTGTCATGACTCACGAGTAGCAAAGAAATTATTAGGAATTGAGTATTTTATTGGAATTTGGAACTATAATGTGTTTCCATAGATGTTTGAACTATGCCTCACTTACTTGAAGACAATTGAATGAGTTGTTATTGTGCTTGGCTTGTGGATTCTTATAATTCCAATTATGTCACCTCTCGGTGAAAGTTTGCTAAGACCGCGTCTTTTGATGGGCGAGCAATATGGATGACACCTCCAGGCTCACATCTCTGAAACTGTTGGCTGGCTTATTTTATTAGTTCATAACCAACTAACCAAGTGGCAGACTGAGCTATTATTGTCCCTTGTAGAAACTGTGAAGAATATTATTTTCCCTTTTAGAAGAAGCTTTTTTGGGGAGAAGTACAGTTAATTCAGAAACTACCACTGTTATATTTTGTTGGAATTCATCATGGAATAATACATTTTGCATATTTTTAGTATTATACATTTGTGTTGTTTCTTTAAGGGGTGTTAGATTTGATTGTACCAAATCAGATAGTGATATTTGTTCAAGACAATTTTTTTCCAGCATGTTGGACTTTACTGTCTCTCTGCCTATAGAATCATGTTAGACTTTACTGTCTCTCTGCCTATAGAATCATGTTGGACTATAGGGAAATGATTAAGTAGTGGTCAGTGTATTTTTGTCTCTTCATTTCTTATTTCTCATTTTCTTTTGTAAAATGGACTTGTGCTTTTTTGTGGTTTTGGAAAGTAAAAAATTACTGGGGCATTTATAATTTTTTGTTGCATTTGCTTTTCACTGCTAACCTAACACCTGAAATCATCCTGAAAATATATCGATCATTTTGTGGCAAAATACTTTGTTTTGGGAAAATGTAGTATTACCTTTTTGTAGTCATTCTTAAAAGGCTAAGTTGCTGCCATGTAACCATTATTTATCATCTCTCAACTCATTTGTTTTTCTTTACTTGCATGAGTTATTTATTTCAGTGATACTGATTTGAATTTTTCCAATGTCTTTGCCTTCTGAATGCAGCTACAAACCTTTTCAAGATGCTTCTTAAGTACAGGCCTGAGGACAAAGCTGCAAAGAAGGAGCGTCTTGTCAAAAGGGCTCAAGCTGAAGCCGAAGGAAAAACTCCCGAGACAAAGAAACCTATTATTGTGAAGTATGGGCTTAAGCACATCACTTACCTTATTGAGCAGGTTTGTTTTGGTCTTGCAAATTCTCTTCTACTTTCAAGCACATCTCTTTTCATCTATGTAGTAACTATTTTCCATTGATGTCTTTTCAGAACAAAGCTCAGTTAGTAGTGATTGCTCATGATGTGGACCCAATAGAGTTGGTTGTCTGGCTTCCTGCACTATGCAGAAAGATGGAAATTCCATACTGCATTGTGAAGGGGAAAGCACGTTTAGGATCGGTAAGTAATACTAAGTCTGTATTCTCAATGCTTCTAGACCTATGAGATACTGATATTGATGACTGTGCACAGATCGTGCATAAGAAAACTGCTTCAGCCTTGTGTTTGACAACCGTGAAGAATGAAGACAAAATGGAGTTTAGCAGAGTTTTGGAGGCAATTAAGGTATCTTTATTATTTACTAGTTTAGTTTGCATTGCATTTTGCTGTAAAGCTCTTCTAGGACTCCTGTTGATGCATGTTTACTTTTTCAGGCTAACTTCAATGACAAGTATGAAGAGAACAGGAAGAAGTGGGGGTGGTGGGTATCATGGGCTCCAAGTCACAGGCCAGGACCAAGGCCAAGGAGAAAGTTCTAGCTAAGGAAGCTGCCCAGAGATTGAACTAAGAGCTTGCTGTGATATTTACACTGCAATTGGATTAGAGAGCTGCTCTGCCAATTTTTGTGTTTGGTTCATATGCTTGACAACGTTAGAGATATTAGTTCGATATGTACCTTTATGTTTGCCATTTGCAGATTATTGATCCGTCGAAGAAGCTTTAAACTTTATGAGAAGTTTTTGTTAGATATTTTGTGAGTGTGTTTTTTATGCCTGCAAATTGCTCAGTTATTCAAGTAACACCTTTACCACTTATTCTTCGCTTATTTAGTGCTTACTGTTGTCTACGAAATTCTGCTCTTGTATGTTGGTTTGGTTCATGATTCATCTCTGGCCTTTCTATTTATCTGTTACTTCTATATGGAGTATTAGATATATCAGTTTGTTCAAATTTACGAAGATTCAAGAAAGAGTGTTGTGTGTGCATTTAGCTCTACGATGTAGCACTGTGCATGTATGTCTTCTTGTTGATACGTAGTGTTAAAACTCACTTAGCATATTCAATGCTATTATTAGGTGATGAGTCTCCTATGTCTTTTGAGTTAATCTCCGTAAGCCAAAAGAGATGCACATTTAACATTATAGGGAATCCCATTTTGGCCCTCTCACCTTTTTTTCTTTTGGTGAGATTATTTGACTAGTTATCATATTAGATCTACAAAATTTTAAATTAAATTTCATTGTATAAGTTTGAAGATAGCAGCAGCAGAAAAGCTGTAGAAGTGGCAAACTATATGTGGCTGTTGGAAGTGTTTATGTATGACACTTTTTAGCACATGTTTGGTGGACGAAGGAAAGGGATGATATATGTTCTCAAGGCAAAATCAATAGCATCCAAAAGTTTAATACCTTTGTTTTTCAAATCTGAATGATAATGGAGAGATTCGACAACTTATATATATGTAAAAAATCATTTTTTTATTATTTATATAGTGTAATTTTTCAATAAAAGTACCACCTTGCACCCCTTTGGCCCTTTTGACTATGTATCTGACAAACTCAGATACCACGATTATAAAAAGAGAGAAGTATTGGAAGCACTCTTAAATTCGGCGTGAGTTATTAGTTTTATTCCGAAGCATTGACAGCTTTAAAAACACTCATTTACTTGACTAACGAAACATAAATACACTCCAATCTTATAACATGAGTGAAATACATCTCTAAATTCTCACCAAATTTAGGGGTGTTTTCAACATTTTTATCGACTTTTTATTAAGAGCTCCATGTTTCTACAAGAGTTTGAGAACATTTGGTGATAATCTACGCCAAATTCACAGGTGTTTTAATAATTCTCTCTTAAAAAAAAAAATTTAAAAAAAGTTGTGCACTTTGTATTTATTTGATTTTCTTCCTCTTGTCATTATCGTACATCCCTTGTCTAATTTTCATCCACATGACCACATCCACAAATATACAAAGATATTTTGTTTCCACTTGTCACCAAACCAAACACGTACCCATTTACGACGTCGTTTGCTTCTTTTTTTTCAATTTGTTGATACACCCCTCACTCCCCTTCCTCCCTGTTGAATCAAGAACCCCAAATCCCCCGCAGCAGAAGTAAAGACTTTTGTGAAAGCTATTGATGGCGTGTACACCCATATTTAATTCTCTTTGAAAAACGTAAAACAAACCCAGAAGATAAGAATATCCACAAAGTTTATTGTTTCAATTTTATTCACATTTCATCCCTTTTTTCTGTTCAACGAAACCTACATGATCCACCACCTACTGGGCTCAATTTTGTTTTTCTTTTGGCTTCGTTATCTGTGAATCAATTGTTTTGCTCTTTATAACTTTATTTGTGGATTTGGGTTGGTGTTAAATCGGATAATTGAAGGTTGAAACTTTAAAGTGAAGAAAGAGTGAGAAGGAGGAAGACACAAGATGGTTAATCAGATTGTATCAAAAATTGGTTCTTGGACTCGTAACAAGATCGTTGATCCTCTTTATCACATCCTCCAAAGGTAGCTAACGTTTACCCTTTTCCCCTTCTCTTTCTTATGGTCTATTCAGGGAGAAAAGAGTGCATTTTTCTAATTAGAACTAGCTTGGATTAGTAATAGCTTGTTTGGATGGTTGTTATGTTTCATTTCATTGTGTATTTTGTTGTGTTGCATTTTGTATCCTTCTCCGTTTTATAATATCACTCACCAGCAATTTAAAGAAATGGTAAAGTAGAAGGTAATTAAATACTCCCTCTGTTTCAATTTGTTTGTCGGGTTGTGATTTGATTCGGAGTTTATGAAAGTAAATAAGTCTTTTTGAATCTTGTGGTTTTAAACTAAACATATGTAGAATGCACCAAAATGTCCTTTAATCGTGTGCTCTTAAATATGTTAGGTGGAAAGTTGGAAGTAAAGAGACATTCTTTTTGAAATTGAATAAAAGAAAAGTAAGTCAAATAAATTGAATCAGGGGAGTAATAAATTAAGGGAAAGAAATAGGGTAATGAGCAATCACACAAAACCGGTTGTTACATAAAGTTTTACTTTTCATTATTACATAACAACAAATTTAACAATATGATACAATAAAATTTAAGTAGCAATCAAAACATACTTCCAAAGTAACAATAGGATACAATAAAACATGTAACAACCATCCAAACAAGCTGTAAGCTTTACCTTAGGTGAGTTTTTTGTAATCAAGTGTCTGATTAATATTCAATTACTAGTAATTTTCTAATGACAAGAATGCAAGTAAGAAGCTTTACTGATTTTTACAATGAATGGTTTTCTTGATTTGCTTTAAGGGGAGCAGAGCCAAAACTGTTGGCGTTCTCTGCGGCTCTCGGAATCACCTTTGGGGTATTTCCCATATGTGGTATGTTCTGTTAAGCTGGAATTAGTTCTTATAATCCCTGTTTTTGTAAATTCATTTTTACGGAAGCATTTCTTGTTTACTTTCTTAAGTTCGTGGTGTGATCTCTAACTATGCAGCCAAATCATATATTCCTAGGACATAATTTTATGACAAAATAGAAGGTTCTCTTGACTGTAATTCAGTTATTTAATCAATGTGTTGAGAAAAGTGGGAGTGTTGAATTGCAGGTAGATGACAAAGGTAGAAGAATTATTAATAAGTCAAATCAGTGAAGTTTCTTTTAATGAAGTAGAAATGGCTTGAACCTTGCAAAATCAAAATGCTAATGAAATACTATATTATAAGATGGTAATTTGATAGCCTTCTCATAGATAATCTTCCAAACACTTCTGGGAGACTTTATCGTTACTGGTTTCAACATGTTTTACGGACTTTTGGGATTGTAGAAGTGAATCTAATGATTGGGATAAAAACCGACATGCTTGTACATATTACAACTTATTGAACTTCTACGTGGATTTGGAATTAATGGTCCTATGAATTGGTCAGCAATTGATTAATTGCCATTCAATGTCATTTTAAGAGCACCCATATGCATAGGCTTGATGTTTGAATTATCTTCCTTCAAAGTTCAAAGAGTTTTTTTTTTGGGACATGCTGTGGAACTAATATGCTGTCTGGAGCAAAGCCAGCTTTTGTACTTATTCCTTTGGTATCAGTTTGGTTAGCTTGAATATCATCATCTAGAAACGCAAGTGTAAATTCATGTTTTTACTTCTTTTTAATGGTTATATGATGGAAATGTTCTTAGTTGATGAAGTATCTGGGTTTTCTTTCCCAAGAAGCCGACACAACTATGTATTGAGAAAGAGACAGCTGTTCAATATCTTCCTCTTGACTATGGACAACTCCAGCAGAGGGTGCGTATAGTTGTTTTTCTCCTGCCCCAAGTTTGTCTCTAGTTTTGAAATCCATGCAGTTGACCGTCACCTCCTTTGGCTTGCTTCAATCTGAGACAGATCTTCAGTAAATTGTGAAGCTTTGAACCCCATATTCCTGATATATCTCTTCCACCTTCTTCCTCTTTCAGAAAATCTGCAATGTGCCCTCCACCTTTGATACTCATAAAAGTTCGCTGATCCACCCTTCTGATCATCAATTCTGATTTAGCTCTCAAACCTTTTCCTTTGTTCAATGATCATGTGGCACACCCTGCATGTGCTGCGTTGTTTAACTACCTTAAATTCTCTGTGGGATGAAGAAGGTCCATCTCTGCATTATCAAACTAAGTCCATCTATGCATTATCAAACTGAATCATGTAATTTAGAAGATTTGATTGCACTTCACGTAGCCATAGATATGCTTATGTTGCAGCGCAACGGCAACCATATGTGGACTTAGTTTGGCGACCATAATGTTGCTGAAATTTTTAGACAGATCTATGTGTGTGTGATGAGAAACGTGGTAGGTAATAATTAACCAAATACATGTAAATTGATGTAAACACAGTCTGTGACTCTGTGCTACAGATTTTTTTAAACTGAAAAATGATAATCTGCAGTTCAATTTTTTGTTGCTAGCTAGAAATATTTGCGTGAGTTGACTTCTGGCTTGATTAAATCCTATTGAATTTTGCTAAGCAAGTACAACTTATGCGCAATCTATTTTTCTCAACAGGTGTCACAGTATTCCTATGTGGGATCGCTATTGCATTGTTGGGATCGTATTGTCATGCTCCTACGATGATGTTGGCTAACTTCATTGCTACTCCTATTGAGTTGAGGTATTAGCTCAGTTGTTTGATTGTTTTGCTGTTACTACTAGAGCCCTGATCTTTTCCCCAAAGACTATTCTCATTGTGCCCCCTACCTGGTCCAAGATCTCTTTTGTAGTTAGACATGTGTATTATAAAATAGGGATTCTTGTTATCAGTTTAACATCTACTTCTGCCGTAGTTATTAGTATTTCACATGCTTCTTGTCACCCACTTTTATGCTAGGATTTGTAGAACAATATCTGTGGGTTGTGAGAAGTGGGAAACATACAAGGATGTGGCATCATGTTCTGCTTTTGGTTATTAGCATCAATGCTATGCGTTTGTTAATCTGTGGTCCCACATGATTTTAAATTTTTTCAATTGCAGAATGCCTCCATTTGGACATAATATATGTGGGTATCTTTTTCCCTTTCATCATTAAACTGTGTCAGAAAGGAGTAATTTCTCTCTTTATTTTTTATTTTTGGGCCAGGGGTAGGGAGTTGGGGGGGGGGGGGTAGG